TATAATTCTGTTAATAAGGAACAAAGCTACTTTAACAGTCGGGACCCATTATTGAAAAATATTATGTATTCTTGAATATCTAATGGCTCCCGACTGTTAAAGTAGCTTTGTTCCTTATTAACATAATTATAGACTATTGGACTTGTTTTTTTCTTTTCAGTTTTTGATTTGAGGTATAATTTTGTTTTTCGCCTACTACGTTTATAAACACCTAAATTAAATTTCTTCTCTTAGTATTCCCGCAGTCTACTCCTACATAGTACACCGCGCATCTTGTCACTTCGTCGTTCTTCTGTCAACTCGCACTTTGTCATCGTTGTTAACTTTTTAAATATTAGTTGGAATGAAATAGTGTAAAAGGCAAAGTTTATTGTTTTTAAATATCAAAAGCGATAAAAGTATTTGTTTTGATAAAAAATATTTTGTTAATACAAAATGTGCATTTTAGAAATAGATATCAAATCATATTTTAGTTTTGATTCACTATTTTAGCGGTAATGGCTTACACATTAAAAATAGATATATGGTGTCACGGACTTTTTTGTAGGACTATTTAAGAGATACATTTTCACTCTACATTACATTCATGTAACTTTTATTGTTTTTGCAGTGCAGGCCAAAATGGCTCGCAGATGGGAGATTTTTTCCGTCTTATGTGACACTTGTTATATTTTGACCAATTTACTCAATAACTACATAAATTATTATATATATGTTATTATCATATATGGGCTATATTACTGTTAAGTTTCCTTAAAATCCATTCAATATTTTTTGGGTGAAAGAGTAACAAAGATCCATACAAACGTAAGATTGAAATTAAAAGCGCAAGTGGTTATTAAACAACTTTAAAGCGTTGTAGATCCTAAACAATCATATAAAATGAAAAATGGTGTAAGGAACCTAAATATGATTTTCGATTATCTACCCCACTCGACATATTTTGTCAACTTATTTTTTTTTACTTCGTCACAATATGGCGCCTAATTTTCCCTATATTGAATTTTGATTAATATTATATCTTTAGTAGCACTGCCCTGATTGAGACGAATCGATTGATGTATGAATCATCAAAATCGGTCCAGGCGTTTGGTCTCTAGTGTGCCACAAAGGAACAAACATACATATACATATAGACTGTTAAACACTATACCCTGACTGCGCGTCGCGCTTCGCGCTCTTGCATTGCGCAGTCGGGTAAAAACTATAGCTGTCGCGCATTGCCAAATACCGTGCGATATGGACAACAGTAGCTAACGCTAAAAATAGCGTATAAATATTACGAAATTCGAAGTTTTCTTCCTCAAAAATTAGATATATCTAAAATAAATATTACCCATAGAATAATAATTAGTTATACAAGGCCTCAATGTTTTGCTTTTTTTGTAAATGCTAATTTAATCTCCGCACTAGGCGTCTTTAGTGGTGATAAAAAAAATAGTATGTTTTTGGCATATTTGAGAGCTACTAGTTTCTTTGAATTACAAGTTATCGCAAAAAGGAAGACATAGGAGAGTAAAATTATATTTGATGTACGTATGTAAATCATTTCTTTAGTGATAAAAATCAAGCAGCAATCAGTCGAGACCGTTTGTATGGATAAATCATTGCCCGCCCCTCCTACCCCAATTTTATACCAAGGTATAATACCATGTATTTAACAAAAATTATACAAGTCTTCGTTTTTTGTTCACACTCATATACATGTATAAAACATGTAGTATACAATACTTGTATACAATATCAATTTAGTTTGAGATACAAAATATGTAAAGTAAATGAGTGATTGATACTTGTACGAGCCGACTCGTACAGTTTTATCTAGTTTGCACTTTACGCCACATTCGATGATTTAGGTCACGCTCACATCATCTGCCATCGGTATTCATTCTCGCCGCGCATACTCATATCAATTATCATATCATTCTTATAAGTTGTTTATGCAGTGTAAACGAAAAAATTATTTAAACAAACAGAACAAGTATTTAACAATGTTTGTACAAAACTAGTTAATGACTTGTTTGGGGTTGACTTTGGTGAAGACAGAGGGGTTAAAGGCATTATCGCGTAATTAAATTTTAGGGTCAGACGAAAGTTCGGCAATACAACGTCTTCTTATAAGAAATACAAATACAACTGCATAGCGACAATTACCTTATTCGCCAAAATGATGACCTTACGTAAACAGGTGACAAAGATTAAACGAAACTAAAAATAAACTAAACTGTTGCACGTGCCTCCCGAGGTCGCCCCGGGGACATTTTCGAGTCCCGCTAATCCAGAATCGACAATGGAGTGGCCTCTAATCAAGACAAAGTGCGTCGAAGCCCACTACCTTAACGACAATTAATCGAGCTTGCGGTGCCTTACGGGCTCGCCATTTAAACTTCTTTGGATTATACGCATAAGACTCTTATAAAACCGCAGAAACATCAACCGACCACAAGATCTTGTAAACAATAACGAATACTTGCTTACATTTTTATTGATTTAAAAAAACTTATCCTAAAATTTAATTTGATAACAGATTATCCTTGCCAATCTCTGTACAGAATAAAAAGGAGAAATTGATTTTAAATTTAGCTTAAAGTTTAGAGAATTAGGCCAGAATCGACACCAGAGTCGCACTAAATATCCGTTATTCCTTCTTTGAAAACCAGAGCTTATGATCTATGCGACCCTGAACATTGAGAGCAGGAGCTCAATCATGTTCAGGATTGAACTTCGAAAACAGTCGAGAAAAAGTTGCAAGCAAAGGCCTACAGGTAGGGATGATAGATATTAGAAAAACATCGATGTTAACATCGAATCAAAAGTATCGATGTACGATAAATATCGATAGAAAAAGTTCGATATGTCTAAAACATCGATGTTTTTGGAAACAAATAAAACTGTCTATTATATTTATGAAATGTTTTAATTATTAGATAGGGTGTCTCAGTAAGAGTGCACTTCTTAATATTAAAATATAAACACGTATTTTTTGAGAGAGTTGAAAGGTTTTTATTGGATTCTAAAGTAGATTATGTTCTGATTAAACATGAAATAAAATATTCGGCAAAACTCCTCCACAGCTCTAATGACAGGCCATCCTAGAGCGCGCCATTTTTAATAATGAGAGTAAACGTAGGTGAGTGAAACCTGTCAAATTTCAGAGTTTCCACCTGTTCGAAAAAAAGACACTAAATTTAATAAAAACTGCACTCTTACTGAGACACCTAGAAATCACAAAAATAATAAGAAAAATTGACATTCCCAGTATTTTTAGGGATACTTTGTAAAAAAATTAACTTTGATAGGTGTTTTACTTTTAGTCTGTGCAACATTTAGTTGAAGCTAGTACATCTAATGCACGCTAGGCGGCGCCCAAAGGAATAATTAACGTTTCGATATTTTATTCTAGTAACACGATGTTTAGATGACATCGATGTTAAAACATCGATGTTTTCCAGTTAAACATCGATGATCATTTAACATAGATGAATATCGATCATCCCTACCTACAGGCAACCGGCCTACATACCTTGTGTTAAAGGTGTATCAGACAAGATCGGGATCGGTTTGCGTGGGTAATCCATACTGACTTTTTATATTAGCGTTATCTTTAACAGATAGCAGAGTTCTGATTGGCCTTTGATCTATTGTGTAATAAATATATAAATTGATAAATTCGTGCGTAATCGGTTGGATTTCAAATTACCTATCTCTGACTCTTGACTCCGCGTAACCCATCAAAACGACAGCCACGTTTAATATTACGTTAAATGCCTTGGTTGTTGACTCCAACGACAAAAGATGTGAGATTTAAATGGATTCCAAGTACAATTGTCAGTCCTGAAATTTATATACGCAACAAAATAGTTAATAACAACTTAAAATAATATTTATTTTTAAAACTTAGGACAGTAATAATTAGGGCACGGATTAATATATATATATATATATATATATATATATATATATATATTAATTAAAAATAAATATATATATTATATTAATAAATTACGGAAAATATCAAAATATGTACATATATTATGGACTAATAAATGTAAAATATGGATTATAAAAAATATCTTTCATATTTTACAACGTAAACGTTTCTGTTTTTGGACGTCAATATCGAAATAACCGTTTGAGGTGTGTTTATGAAATTTTTAACACATGTATCTCGCAAGTGTGACATATGGTTCAGCAATTAATAAATAAATATATGAGCCAATTGCTAGAGCGCTCAGTTCACCTTCCTATTTTGCCGGCACGCAGAACTCGATTCAATTCCGATTATAAAAGTGAATGAGACACTACTTACTAACTCATAAGCCCTTATATAAACAAGGAATAGGCTAAGATTAATTACGCCGTTTTTTGTTCATGTCACTTTAATGCCATTTGTCATTCAACGAATAGAGACAAATCATGGATAACTATCCCAAGCTAACGCTTCGGTAGCTACTTTTGAATTCAAAATAATTTATGCCGTTTAGGCTGTTTGTTACAAGCTCTCATGAATGTATATATGTCATAATGTCTGAGACAGAAGGTAAACCAACCATTTTTTTTAATGGGTCGTATGTAATACGCATATAAATAAAATCATAATTTAAAAAATGTGACAATAAAAAAACCTAAAACTAGCTGTTCCCAAACTTTGAAAGCATTATGATGCTGCTAAATTTAATATTAATGATAAAGTTAATAATTTACGTTGAATTGTGAAATTTTGTTATCAGTCTGGTTACCCAGTCCCCGTAGCATGAGCACCACAATTTGCAATATATCACGTTTTTTATCGCGAGTAACTGTCAAACTCCATAGTAATTTGACAATTGAGCGTGATAAAAACGAGCTTTATATTATATCGCGGTGCTCATGCTAGGGGGCAGCAATCTTTACTCTCGATAAAAAAGTTTTAGAAACATTGGTTTATTTTATTTAGCTTTTGTCTCAGAGCAAGTTGAATAGAGTATAGAAGCAACTCCATAGGTTCGTAAATCTACTGCGGGAGACCTTGTACTGAGAAGAACTCAACTCTCAATAAGGGCTGTTTTTTTTCTCCCTGTATTATTAATATTATACACTCGATACGGATCGAGTTAGCAATCCATTTATTTCGGTCTCTGAAGCCTGTTTTTATCTTTAAAAGTTGATTTTTACTTATCAAGCTTAAAGTATATTCATTTCATAATTTTCATCTGCCTACTGAGAATTCGGGAAGATTCCTGGCATAAGATACCTCCAGCAAAATGGTTTCTAATTCCCTATCCTATCAGATATTTCTGTATCTCGACATCATGTTATTATGGTACTTTTTTATATTACCCTTACATCGTTATTGAAAGAAGTTTTTTTTCTCGTCTGACATTGTGTCCTTATTTATTTGTGTTGATACTGCACCGGTTGTCACTAAGATGACGGCTGCTCACGTCAGGGCTGCGGTCTTCGCGCTAATAGCCGCAATTAATTTCGTATAATATTGTTTGCTGCCACGCTGACGCCGCCTAGCCGCTGTGTACACATTGATGTCAGTACGTAGTGCACCTCCGTAGCCGCAGGAACTGCCGCGGTCATTTACTTGCAGTGTTGACAAACTTAAGGGATTTTGTGTTGTGTTCATATCTCTGTATCGATATGGATTTAAGTGAATGACTTCCACATGTATTGGGATCACAATCTATTTGGTATGTTTGCCCCTTAACTGCTATTCTTTTGTTTAAATAGTATGTAAGACTGTATTTCAGAATGCGATTTGTACGTTTAGTTCTGTAAATTGATATTGTATCAGATTACTTCCCCTTTATTTGTTAAAATAACGAGCAAATTTTCTACTGTGCTAGCATGTCGAAGAGATTTTTCTTTAGATCTCTCAGCGTTGTTTCTTTGCATGTTATCCAGAAAAGTTTTCTTGTTCAAGGCCAAACGAAAATTGGGTGACTAACCGAGGTTTTTTACGATTTTCGAAACATATTAAAAGCTATCCGTTTCATGCAAAATAATAGCCATATTAAATCTAAACCTTGTACTATTTACTTAGGAGGTTGTTTATAAATTCTAAAATACACTTTGCCCATAATTTCGTCATCGTGGACTAAATAATTTTTAAAAAATCAACTCAATCTACCCGTGGGCTTGATAGTTTATAATATTTGTCTATTGCTCTGTGAATACGTTCGTTTGATCGCTTTTGGATCATCCCACAGGAACCTGATTTTATTGGAAATTTCATCCAAACCTAGTTAACCGCTTTTTCATGATAAAGTTTGCTTATTATCACGAGGTAAAAGCTCATATTTAAAATATTAGTTTGAGTAGCATTTTATTGGAGATCCATCACCCTGATTTGGCATTTTCTATAATACCGACAGGTTACAGAGGTGCAAGGTGCAGGAGAGCAATGTTTTATCCCAATGTGTTCTGAAAAGGTTCTGGATTCGTTTTCAAGGAATCTGAAATGGTTCCACCTGAAACTTTTCAGAATCCTTGACTACGAATTGAGATATTGGACGTTTTAAAAAGACTTATAATTAATATGGAATGACTGCGTAATCCGGTGTTTATGATAATGAGCGGTCTGCGTGAAGTATCAGGTCGGTCGGGATTACCGACCGATTTCACGGAAATCCGACTCGTTGTCACGGCTTATCGCTTCCACTAGCTTCCGATGTCATTGCAAAGTGATCTCAATTGACAATTAATTATATAGTATTCCGCAAATAAATGGCATGCAGACTGTTAGCCGTGAGGTCAATAAACAGAAGCTAGAATGATACCATTAGCGTGAGTAAGATTGTTTTACTATGCATTATTTAAACGATATGATCCTATGACCTTATGTGTTGGTTCTCGTACTCCTCATACTTTTCACATAACAAACAACCTACATTTAAAGATTAAACTTTTCAGTATGAACTAAACGCATTCAGTGGGTGACTCAATTGAATTGTCCAAAAATTATCATCCAAATAATGCGCAAGGTAATCCTCAGATCGCGGTCCGCTTCGTTCTGGGAAAGGCTCCGTGAAAGTGGGAACTCCATTCTCCGCAACATCCACGATGACGTGGACAATGTATTTTTTAAACATTGGACTAAATTACACCGTTTTGGAAATGACAGTCTGAAATAAACATTTCGCAAGTCCTATTTTATTTTTTAGGTAATTCTAGTATGTTAACATTATTATAATATATATAGTTTTTTTTTTTCATTTTTTACTATCAATTTTGTCATATGGGTCTTTTCCTGAATTAAGAAATTATTATTATTATAATTCGTAATCATAAGAGCCAAGTATAGCTATAGCGAGAGGTGTAAATTTTTAATTACGAAATAAAATACAAATGAACTTCTCTTGTTTCCATTGTAAATTGAACTGCATTAATAACGGAAAACATGGATACAAAATTAAATACAGTCAGTTAACATGAGCATGTTTTAGTATTTATGAGCACATCAGCATAGTGTCTAAAATGCAAGATGCCACTGCTGCAAAACTGCCTAACACGTCAAGTGAGTTGCGCTTAAGCAATTTTAAGTTACAAAAGCATCTTTTGCGTAGACAATAAAGCTTATTTGATTTAAGTCTTTTTCGCAAACTATATAAATTTGATAATAATATTCTCTAGTTTTTTATTGAAAAAAAAAAGAGATTATTGTTTTAAACTGTCATGGTCACTGACATTTATAGCCTCCATGATCATGGCGCTTGCAACAGTGCCGTAATATCGGAGACTCATAAAAAACAAGGTCCATGGTAACAATCCCGTAAATAGCTATAATAATAAAGAGATTATATTGTAATACTATTTAGATTTGTCTTAGCTGCATAATGCAGCTAAGTAACGTCACACTATATTAACTGAAAGTACTCGAGTATGTCTTATTGAAGAAACAAAAGAGAGTATTTAATATAATTTTTATAAGGGCAATTGAGCAAAAACCTAAACAGGTGCAATAATTTGAGATACACGCCAGACAGATGTTTTGAGTATTTTATTAAAATCGTATTAATAGTTCATTAACACGGCCGTTATAACGGAACTTGAATTAATGTTCATAGGTTTTATGGTTAGTAAATAAACCCAATAATATTGTAGTTATTAGTGTAGTAATTGATTTGAATTTGAGTTACGCATTATGGGTTTTCAGCTCAAATTAGAGAGAGCGCCCGCGATGAACGATTGGTTAAGTATATTCCATCCTCCATAGTAAAATAACACTCCTTTTTGGTGTTGTGAGTAAGGTTCCAGATCTCTACTGGGTCGGGCACAGGGCAACTTGTGTTCTCTTTGGGATAGGCGATTGGGTTCAGTCGTTCAGTTCAATTCAAAAAATTCAAAATTCAATATCGTTTATTCAGTCTAGGCTGTTACAAGCACTTGTGATTTGATATATAACACGATTTTATCACGCTCAATTGTCAAATTACTATAGAGTTTGACAGTTAACTGCGATAAAAAACGTGATATAATGTAAATTATGGGGCTCATGCCACTGGTCTGTAAGGTGAAGCTAGCTGCAGGGTTGCCAACCGTATTTTTTTTTCCACGTACTTATGCAGTCAAAAATCCTGCAATCTGGCTTTCGAACTTCGGGCGCACGGAAAAAGTACGCCTCTGCATCCTCTATTTTCTTGTAGCTCTTTCCATACATCTACTGGACTTTTTCTAAAATGCCTCCTGATTTTGAAAAATCGGACCTGACAACACTGACCAAAACGGTCTAAATTCAAATCAAGGCTTAATCGTGTTTAACTCATCGTTCCACCTTTGTCAATTGTTTGAGGTCAAATAGAGATACAATGAGGCTTAAACATAATTTGCTTTTAAATTTGAATTATACAGGTGCAGTGGGCTAATTTGCTGTGCCTTTTAAATCAAACATAAACGAATAAAATGCTCAGACGTGTTATTCTCCCAAAGCAAATAACCTCGGGCTGCGATACAAATTCACATACATAACATAGGTAATAATATCATTTGCCAACCGTATGCCTCGCCCGTGTTTGACAATAAAAACTAAAATGTTGCAGTTTTTTTTCTATTTAGTAAATTTAGTTACTAAGAAAAGCGTTGGTTACAAGCTTACCAATTTAAGTGGTCAATCGGTTTCAATTAGTGAATCGTATTGCAGAGATTGAATTACTGAGTAGGTACATGAATCCAGATTATCTACACAAGTGTTGGGTAGGTCAACTCTTTTCTTTTTTGATAAATTCAATCAATCAATAATCAATATTTCCAACACTCACACCAATTAGCCTAGCCCCAAAGTAAGCACATATATAAGTAAATTTATATAGAAATACATATTAAACATCCATGACTGGAGTACAAATGCTCGTATTCATCAAACAAACATCTGCCCCCACCGGAATTTGAACCCGGGACCTCTCGAGTCGTCGACACCATGAAACCCGGCGTACAAACCACTCGGCCACGGAGGTCGTCAAATTATGCCGAATTAAATATACGACGTTAATCATAATCATTTATTTAATCATGACTTTAAAGTTGATGCTTCTGATGAATGAATGTTGCAACTTTTTATAGTAACAAGTTTTTTTTAAAGGACATGATAATATGTTATAGTTGGCTCAAATCGTTGACCACTTCTCATAGTAACGTATGGCTTCTTCTGCACCTGTCGAAATAATGTTTTCTTTTATTAAAATGAATAATCATCTGAAAGCTCAAGCAAGCATTAATTTATATGCAGGTGCGAATACCAAGTTGTTATGAAAAATAACTAAAATGACTGAATTTAACACTTATATAATTATTTAAATCTTTATGCAGTGAGTATGTATTTACGTATTAAACACGAGAACTTATTTTTGGAACTAAGTTCCTTTTCGGTCGGTACGGCCTTTGCGCCATACGCCAAGGCTCTATGCGAAACAAAAGTACTTACCTGTACCCTTAGCACGGACCAATATCGAATTCGTAACGTTTGCGAGTCCGAAATGTCATTGTCAAATGTGTACTGATTATTAGTTCTCGTTACGTACTTTGTGGCGCTGCTGTTCAAGTTTCCATACATAATTTGACATTGACAATTCGGTTTGCAAACTATTCGAATTCGATATTGGTTCGTGCTAGGGGTACTGTAAGATTTTTACGTCGCGATCATCAGTTGTTTCGTAGCGTAATTTGACTATTGTGTGTATTGGTGTATTTATTTATGCTAATGTTTATTTTTATTCATTTATTCGAAAATTGCTCAATGTTCACAGGGATCAAAATAGCGTTTTAATCTCTAGGGACTAAAAGTGATTTGAATTAGGAATGTTGATATTGTTAGTAAAAGGTTCAATCACCAAAGTGATATTCTTTTTATTATTTTGCCCCTCTTGGGAAAGGACATTGACATTTCGCACTCGCAAACTATTCGAATTCGATATTGGTTCGTGCTAAGGGTACTGTAAGATTTTTACATCGCGATCGTCAGTTGTTTCGTAGCGTAATTTGACTATTGTGTGTATTGGTGTATTTATTTATGCTAATGTTTATTTTTATTCATTTATTCGATAATTGCTCAATGTTCACAGGGACCAAAATAGCGTTTTAATCTCTAGGGACTAAAAGTGATTTGAATTAGGAATGTTGATATTGTTAGTAAAAGATTCAATCACCAAAGTGATATTCTTTTTATTATATTGTTCCCTTCTTGGGAAAGGCAAAA